CAACTCCCACCGATTCTTCATGAGATTTGGGAATCTAATTCTCACACATAAGAAACCTCCTCATTTGTGCTCAGATTTATACTACGGACCATCTCTCTCTCCAAATCCTGAAAAACTAATCTTATTGAAATTTCCTATATCGTGTCTTCATCCAAGCTAGACTTTTCTCAGACTGCACAGCATAATTTATATAATGCACTTTAATACTATGCCTGATAACATCCTTGAACTTCAAACAAATTCTAAGGAGAAAAAAAATAATAAAAAAACAACCCAGCAATGTGTTTACCCTGTGAGCATACTCAGGCTTAGCCATCATGGCGCAAAGACATAAGCTGGGGCACATATTTAAAGACAGAGTTGTAGGGGAAAAAAGAAAAAAAACAACACAACATGAGACAGCTGAACGGTAAAGGCAAAGCTTTCAGGACAAATACAGTATCTTGCCTATATATGCTACAAAGTGGGAAAGAACCAAAGGTCTATATATAGCTTAAAAGTCATTTGTGAGCAAGACTGTTTTCAACTCAGCCAAAGCACATCTAAGTTATTTGTGGCTTGTCAAGACTTTTCTTATGCAGGCAGAACAATCCCAGCTGCAATTCCTTGTGCCTGAGACAGGATGGAAAAATGCCCCAAACAAAGACTGCTGTCTCACAGAATACAGTGTTTTACTTCTTTTGTTTTCTCTGATTACTTACAGCTTTAAGAAATATCTGCTTACAGAGCTAAAACCAGAAATACACAGAACAAGGTTTATGAGGACCACAAAATTCTAAACATCTTTTTTACTGACTTCTTGGCCTGATTCTGGACAAGTGCTTAAAGGAGGCACAATACAAAGGAGGGGTAATCCATCCTGAAAGGTAAAACATACCTTATTAGACATACAACACAGAACCATTTCTTCCACGAGAAAAAGAAAAGGGAAAATCCAGTAGGTCAGATGAAAGGAGAAACCTATCCATGATGAGTTTAAGACACAAGTTATCTAGATACGAAGCTCAAATTCTATCATTTTCAATAGGGAAAAAGTATTCTTCAAAGCATTACTCCTACATCCTACTTAGGAATAAACTCCAAACAGGAGTCTCCAAACAGAGCATGGTGATCCATCAATCTCTCTATGCCGTCCAAGCGTAGAACAGAAAGACATCGGCTTGATTTGGAATCGAGAAGACGTGTAAGGGATTTAAGGGAAAGTATTATGAAGTCCTACCTCACATTATGGAATCATCTTCGATGGCGGTTTTTAAGCAAACAAAAAAACAACAACAACTCACCAGAAAAGATACGCTCAGGCCTTGCCAAACAGCTCAGGGAATTAGACTGAAGAGCTTAAGATCATTTCCAGGCCTTCGTTTTTAATATCGGCCTCTTCACAGCTACATAAAGTTTTGTTGTACATAACTTCTTAGAACTGCTTTCATCACCACTAAATATTTAAAAATAAAAGTAAAAACCAAAAACTTAAGAAAACAAGACACTGACTTTGAGCACTGTGCCACTTTTGTTCAAAGAACTGGTCATTTTGAAATTCAATGGGAAAATTATTTTTGCAGAGGCAAGGCAAGTCATGCAAAGCAGCTGATTCTTCCTTAAAGATCAGGCTCTCTGTAATTGAGAAGTTTGGATTTTATGGAAATAATATTTGTTTGGGATCTAGCAGTACTCCTTCAAAGCTAATAAGCATACTAGAAGTCAATCAGAAGCCTCAGTTATAAACGTTCACTGCAGATTAGTTGACTTTTTTTCTGAGGGCATGGTTTCAGCAACCAAGGGGAGTTTTTAATTAAATTAGCCCTCTTCCCTCTCCCTCAGGCTACTGAAGTCCTCAGTGGAAGAAAGAGCAGAAGACAACCTTTAACAGCCTATAGTAAGAACGCATTACTAGACACTGCAACCTTACTTCTCGTGTTTTCACCCAGAAATTGTAACAACTTAGTGACATGATCACTGCTTTTAGGATACATTCACATTCTTAGATATCTATCTCATACATATCAGGTAATTTTAAATTAAAAAAAACAGAATTCTGGAAATGCAAAAAGTTAACTTCTTCTAGGGATGCTATTAGTTAGTTTGTCTTTCTCAAGTTACATAAGATATTTTAAGTAGTATACTTTGGCAATTTTTTTTTAAACTGAAAATACATCAAATTATATCTTCTACTCCGCATTTCAAATAAGATCAATAAAACAAGTCTCCAGTTGGCCAATCTGAAATTGGCAGATTACATTTCAACAATAGCCGCTCTCTTAGAGAAACTGACTTGGTTTTTCCCCAAACCTCCAACAGTACCCACACAAACAACACAGGTCTAGATGCAAGTAAAAGGAGTTGTAATGTTGAAGGATGAACTGAACTGCTGCTTAAAAATATAAGTTTCTAGCTCACCTAATACCTGCAGGTGAAATTAACCAACACAGGTGATATTAGAAATCTGTATGATACTTATTCTACAACAATATAATGCTGAGATACACAGTTCCTTTAGGACATATTAAAGGACAGTTATTTCCAAATGAATTATTTGTTGTTGAAGGTATGCATTTTTTTTTATGTGCTGGTTCAAAAAAACAATTGACCTTTGGAAAGAAATACCTGAAAGAAAACCAAAACAATTGATTTTTTAGTAAGAGTTTTGCTGTTGACATCCTTGGGGCTAGAATTCCATTCCTGCGGACTTCATGCAACCAAAACATTCATTTTTCTGAAATAAATAAGGATTAAGTTGAACTATATAGGAAAAGCAGGTGAAACTCACTGAGCTAGCTAGACTTAAATGCTTTAATGTCTGTAGCAAGCCATTGCCCTCCCTCCTCCACAAATGAGTATAACACGCTTTTCTGATAAAAAGAGTACTGCTGGATGAGATCTTAAAAACCTAAAGTTTTGCCTATGAAAGGGAAAAAAACAACCCCCACCCCCAAATGGAAGCATATACCAAAAAAAGCCAACAGTATTTTCAACGTGGGAATAAACAGTTTGCTGTGGATGCCCTGATTAAGTTTTCCAAGTGGTCGTGATGATTCTGATTGGTTGTTTCATTTGAATAGAACCATTTAATTTCTGTAACAAAGCAAACATGTTGTACTACCATTTTAGGCTGTTTGGGATATATATATACACACACATACAAAGAATTTTGTACACCTCCCATAGTTTTTTAAACTTTAGAAGTGGCCCTATTTCTAAGATGAAAACAATTGCAATGAATACATGCATACAGTTTTTCCATGTGCACCACGTGTAAGACTGCAAAGAATGCTTATAACATAAAAACTTGTGAGTTCAGTCAAAACAATATTTCTACTTATAGAGCTGAATATTCTGTAGGAAGATGACAGCTTTTTTGATATACAATTTTTAGTAACTGGTACTCTAAAATAGCCAGGCTGAATGCACCAAGTTGCCAAACGCCAGTGTTCAATAAACAACACCTAGAACAACTTCCTGTGCACTACAGGAAGCCCCAGGCCAGAGCTTAGACATAAGCAGAAGCCTTTGGAAATTGCTGTATAATAAAGCTAATTATAAAAACTTTTTTTAAACTTAGAAACCAAGAAGTATTTCAGTAAACGTTAACAAAATAAAATGCAGCAAACCACAGGCAGGTTTCTCTAATATACCCACTCCAACTCATCTTAGCATGGGCAATAATATACCTGTTTTTGACTGTTCTTCCTCACTGCTGCAAGAGCTCCTCTATGCCCCACTTTGTTGTATGTGTCTATGTATATTCCACTCTGTAAACCCCACTTCCCCAAAGTCACATCACCAAGTGGAGCGGACTCTCCTACCCGAAATAAACTGCCCAAGCTCTCCTTCTCACAGAACCCACAGTAAGGCACTAAGATTAGTTTCAATACACAGAAGTTTCTTTTTTTTCTTTATAGCTTCAATCCTTCAACAATCAAATGGATTGGGAACAGAAATAGATTAATTTGACCACTGTTCACCCTAGACTCAGTACTGAGATGGGCTCATCGTTCCATCGTTGAGTTCTGTCAATCCCACTTACCCCTTAAGAAATCTCAGGGGACAGAAAAGGGGGACGGCGAAGGCCCTGCGGCCTTCACCTTTGCTTTGGGTAAGGGCTTTTTATTTTTCAAATCTCTCCTGAAATGAGACCGAGTCAATAGGCCTGTGCGTCTTCAACTTCTGCATTAAGTACTTAAAGCAGTATTTTTGTCTCTTCCTTTGCCACCACCTTCCACAATATTCTGCCACACAATTGCTCAACATGTGTTATACTGGTTACTGATACAGGATTATCTCCTGCTCCCAAGTTACAACCTGCAGCTTTCTACCCTTCTATTTACCTGTAAGATAGGCCCTTTAGCTCCAATGACCACCCAGTGAAAGAGAGCAATTTGCTGCACTCTTTCTCCTCCCCTACTCTATTGCTTCTCAAAATGCTGCAGTCAGCATCAAACTTTAGTACCTTCCCCCTGCATCAAGGGTCACGAGAGAGGTGGGACAGTTCTTACTTTTAGACACTGTTGTATCTCTACTCTTATACTCAAAAGATAAGACACCAGGGAAAACAAATCCTTTTCCTCTAGCATTTTCACTAGGTTAGTGACATGCCCTCTGCGCCCTGCACGCACACCCGTCTACCCATTCCTGCCTCTCAACTGGTCTAGTCTTCTCTTCTCCACCCCAGTGCATTAATTACAGAAATCAGAGCTCCTTCTCGCACCATTCACCCCTCAGGCCACCTCCTAATGGAGGTGTTGCTGCCCTACAGATGCGGGGGTGGAGGAGGGGGGGAGGATCGTGACTGGAGCACAGCCTGGCCCGGCGCCCCTACAGATTCCCTTTTCCCTCCTCAAAAGACACCTCCTACCCCCTCCGAACCCTCCCGTCACAGAGGGCCCGCTCCCCTCCCCGCGAAAGGAGACCTCCCCAGTCCCTACAAGGGCACTCCCAGAGCACAGGCCCAGCGCCCCGCTTTCCCGCACCAGCCCCAGGCCCACCGAGCCCCCCTCACAGCCCTGTGGATCCAGCCATCTTGTCCAAACCCC